CAACAACCCCCCTCTCCCCCTACCCCTCCACATACCAAAAAAAAAAACCCCCCCCCCCCCCCCCAAAAAAAAAAAAAAAAAAAAAAAAACTGAGGTCATTCAAACAGCTTTCTGCAACAGGTAAGATACTAAATGTTCATCATCTTTCCGAGGAACTCCACTTCAAAAGATCTGAACTATTTCTAAGTAAAATTAGTTGCTTTCATCTTCTTCTGCTCCAATCTCATTTTGAGCTCTGAAACTAGCGCTTTGTTCATAGTGTCCTGCCTCTCCAGCTTCTTTCTAGGTTTGGGTGCCACCGACGAGGAGACCGTTGGTACAGTCCACTGCCGCTCTCTGTAGATGTAGTTAGGTGGTGGAGGGGGCAGAGACGGTGCACAGGGTGGCGGAGGCGGAGTCCAGTGTCTCACAACATTGGTGACGTTGTTGTTACAGTTGACGTTCTCCACGGCAACCTCTGGCTCCTGCTCTTCCTCTGTAACTCTGAATTTCTCTCTGGTGGTTGATGATGTCTTGAAGGGGTTTTTGAAGTTCCATAAGGGCTGTCTCTGTGGCCTTCTTCGTATTTTGCGGGTGGGCAGGATCCGGTTGGACTTAATGTTGCGCAAGAACGTTGCAGTGGAGATGATGATGGTGATTATGACCATGAGACCAATAAAGCTAGCAAGCACTCCTATGATATGCATTGGGTTGTTTCTATTCTGCATTAAAAATGATCCCAAAGGCCCCCCTTCTGTAGTCTGTAAAAGAGCACAAGGAGAATTCACATCCATGGGGCTGAAATCATACATTTTTCTTTTTTATTTAAAAAAAGTTTGGGTTCATGGTATGCAACTGTACTTGTATTGTCGAACTCACAAAAATATTATGTAAAAGTCTTAAAATTGTTTTTATTACTATTACCCTTTGTGTAAAATAATGATCACCCATGAAATGTTTTATTAGATTTTGTCAAGACAAGATCAGAGAGGTTCATGGAGGAACCCATATCTGAGACCATTCAGCATCTGAGAATGCAGATGAGAAAAAATAAATTTGCTGGTGTGTCATTTTGCACATACTAAATTAATATAGTTGAGAAAAACTATTCTTTTGGAGTACATTGTGCTCTTGCGTGTGCTCTTTTACAGACACAGTCACGTTCCTCTAATAAAAATAATCCCCTGAAAATGAATACCACAAAGTAAAACAAACAATACTCTTGTGCTGATGATCTCAAGGCAAGTTTTGTTTATGGCACAGGCCTCCGAGCAATCTTTCTGATCTTGCCGTGAGGTTGTACACGGGTCTTTTTCACAGATTTCCAGTACATAACAGTTGAAATGAAGATTGTCAGTGAAATGGTGAACGTCACAAGGGTCAAACAAATCCCAAACACTGCCCCTGGACGTTTCCTTAGGCCCAGGAAGTATGAGAAAAACCTGGATTTGACCTGAAAACATTACAATAGAACATATGAGATAAATCTGACTATGAAATTTCTAAAGCTTTTTCAAGCTAATTAATTAAAAAAAATACTTTGAACTGTAGCAACATGATTAATGCTTCCATTCTTCACATAAAAGCTTATATTGTCAGTAATGTGCTGTGATCCATGCTGCTGATTATTATATATTCATACCCATCTGCTCACAACAGACTCATGTTCAGGCTGCTGTTTAATATGTAGTGTTATATTACATTATTATTGTTTAGCATATAGCTTAGATCTTTACTGTTTTCCTTTTATAGTTTATATTTTTGCTATTTTTGGGTGTAACTGGGACCTTGAGTAGACAGTTTCATTTCACCTCATGTACCACATGCAAATGACAATAAAGAACCCTGAACCTTGAGTTTGTAAAATTATTACAGTATACACTGTATGTTTTTAGACTACCATTTAGTTTTTATGAATTACACTTTAAAAATTGTATTTCTAATAAAAAATAAACGTCTAAACATGTACTCAAAATATTTAAGCAAAAATGTTGTGTCCATGGTTTTCACACTATTGTTTTCCTAATTTTTACTTTTCAGAACATTTTTTACAACCTACTTTATTTTGGTGGATTTTGTGCCATTTTAGTCATTCATATATTAAAACATTCAGCTCATTTAGGTGAGGTCTTTTTATACTTTAACTTATTAACAAACATTTCCCCCATAGAATATGGAGGATGAAATGTGACTAAATTAAATAGAATAAATACATAATAATTAAATACAGGTTTTTTCAATTTCTTTAAAAACCTTGTTATTTTTCATATCTGATTCATCATTGCTCTGTTTTGATTTTTCTTGTTACTTTTACTTTGCAGCTTTTAGATCCAGTTATCAAGTTGCTACTTTTAGCTTCTGCCATTACTTTCTTTAAGGTATGAGCAGTTGTTTTGCTACTTTAGCTTCAAGCTACCCTTTAGCATTATTCTGCTTTTAGCTATGCTTATGCTACATTTAGGTATTTTCTTGATTTTATCTTTTAGCTAGTGTTTTGGCATTTTAAGCCAGCATTTAGATTTTTTTGTTTTGTTTTGAGCTGGTGTTCTGTTTTTTTTAGCTATAGCAACAAACTTCAGCATAATCATTGAGCTCTCAGTACTCACGCTGTATTTAAAAAAAGAAAAGGCAATTTATCATGTTGTTTTTAAGTGGAAACGTTTAAGAGTTTTGCTTTAGTTGGAATCGACTTAGCCTGGAACATATTTGTTGTAAATGTTTTTAAATATTAGACAGAACACACAAAAATAAACCCACTCAAAGGGATGAATATTTGCAACTTACGGCTTCAGTGATGTCGATCTTGACAACTGCAGTGGTGCTGAAGGACGGCTGCCCCAGGTCCCGGGCCTGCACCACCAGAGACCAGCTGCAGTCCCGCTTCTTAGTGATGTTCTGAATGATGGCCATTGACTTGATAAAGGACTTCAGTTTGATTTCTCCCGTGTCCGAGTTAATATCAAAAATGTTGTTGTCCGGTTCAGCTTTCATGATGGCATATTCAATTACATTGTTGGGTACTTCTGCATCATCATCTACAGCCTGTGGAGAGGCCTTGGTTAATAATTTAATGACTAAATTTGGTAAAATTCACTTCATTGTTTTTCTCTGTATAAAATCACACAACAATGTTTACCTCTATCTTCACTGGTGCCCCAATCACCATGGTCTTCTCCAGGAAGTTGTTATTGAAAGCAGGTGGATGGTCATTCAGGTCCAGCACAGTCACAAAGACTTCAGCCAGATTATACTTTCCCTCTGCATCCTCTGCCTTCACATAGAAGTTATACTTAGACCTCACCTCAGCATCCAGGCTCGCCCAGGGCTGTGTGTATATAATCCCAGATGTAGGCTGGATCAGAAACCTGAAAATAATGACATGTCTTCTTTTAAGTCATGATTTACCATTTTTTATACCTAGCAGAGTTTAAAAAATAAAATAAAATAAAAGGCTGTAAGCTCAATCATCCAGGTAGATAACAAAAAAGTTAAATCATGTCATCTGGACAAGTTTCTAGCAGAGTTACGTTGTTTCACAGAGTAATAATTGCTTTATGATTCCATCTTAATAATGGAAGATATGAAGAATATGAACTTAACCCTTTTTACGCCCTATCTCTGACAGAAAACTGTACAAAGACAACAAAAGCAATCGCTAAAACTGAAGTTCAAGAAAAATGAACATAAACTAGTTTTGACTTTGAAGATAAGAGCACATTGATAACATCTGTAGCATCAAACACAAAATAATTGTGTGGCATTAAACAAGCAAAAGTACTTTGCACAACACACCAGTCCAATTCATACCATATCTAATATTAAAAGAGATAAGATATGAAAGATACCATTTGTCTCTGAAGGAGAGCTCAAAAGTTTGGTTCTTGGAAAAAAAATGCTTGTATGTAGTATATATATATATATATATATATATATATATATATATATATATATATATACATTTGACGGGGCAGGAAATCATAAGATTGTTATCTTCTACCTGCTCCTTTCGAACAAATTGTGTAAAATTGCATGTCAATTGGAACGACTGTTGTTTTTTTTCTCTTTCTTTGTTTTTACTTTTAATTGTCATTTGAAATAAAAAATAAATACATTTCGATAATCCAACTTGTATGTGAGTTTTGTATATTTACCATCAATTTTGTTCTGTTCAATTTGAATTAAATCTTGCCTGCGTGCACTAAAATAATAACAGTGGAGTCTGGTGATTCTTAAGTCCTGGTGAGTCCTATATGGTTTTTCTTAGGTACCAACTGGGTCTTTTTGCGATAGACAAAGCTTTTCTTAGTTTACACATTTCCTAGGAGAAATTGATAAGGCGGCCTGTTTCGAGGCCAATGAGGGAGTCAGATTCAGATAATTCACAATTGTTGATGTATTCAGGCAGCTTATTTTTCCTTGTCAGCCTTGAGTCTTACTGGTACTTCCAAGGTCTGAAATGGCCAGATTAGGGTGCATTCTACTGGTCCGTGCTTACAAGCCTCTTTAAGGTCGTTTCCATGCTGACGAGTCCTAAAGCCACAGGTGGCCTGTGATTCAAATCACTACCATCTAACGGTTTAGCTTGTAAATCAGCTGATTTTGAGTCCTCAAAGCACGAACCAAACCTTCACATAGACATCAGCCTGACGAAGGCCAAATTAGCAGCAGCTGTCTTCTTTGTACGTTGGTAAACCAGGATCCAGACTATTCCAAAAACAGGCAACATGTTATCATAAATCCAATTATATGCAATTTCGGTATATATATATATATATATATATATATATATTTATATATATATATATGTTCACACAACATGAAAATTTCTTTAATTGGCCCTAGCACCATTTTTTTTGGGCCTTTTTGCGACTTAGTTTTACACTTAACATAAAAATCAAATAGTGATTGGAAATGTTGAAAGCTTTGTCTTCTGAATAAAAAAACAAGCAAAAAAAAAATGATGTGAAACATCTTGAAAAAGTGGAACAATCTATAAACCCCGACCCCCAACCCCCAACCCATTTAATTATGACCTGAAAAGAAATGTAGTTCTTTGTTGTTATGTAATTTAAAACATAATTCTCTGCTAAATTAGTTGATTTGAACTTCATACAGAAACACCAAACCATCATCTTTACCCTTCTTCTTTTTTGAGTCACAGGGGACACTGGTGTCCATGTCCAGCAGTCACTATGCAAGAGACAGGGGACACCCTGGCAGGGGACACCCTGGCAGGGGACACCCTGGGCAGGTCTCCAGTCCATTACAGGGACACGAGACAAACAAGACAAACAACCATTCACTCTCTCACGCACACCTAAGTACAATTTAGAGTTACCAATCAGACTAACATACATATTTTTGGTCTGTGGGAGGAAACTGGAGTACCTGGAGGAAAATCATGCATGCATGGAGAGAACATGTAAACTCCAGAAAGGCCACTGGCAGAGATTCAATCCAGCAACCTCAACACTGAGAGGCAGCAGCTCTACCAACTGCTCCATGGCCCATACACAAACATAAATGCTTGAATATTCTCACATTTCAAAGGAGCTGTGTTTCACTGTCCTTTCACAGTAATTTTGAATAAAAACTCAACAGAGTCCTAACTGAACATGGCAGTTTCATTTACAAACGTGTGCAGTTGCCCTGCAGTGACTTCGTTGTAAGGTGCCCAGAAGCAAAGAGCAGTCTATTTTCTCCTCAAATCCTATTAGAGGATTAAAACAGGCTGAGAGCGAGCCAGCAGAGATACAAGCCGTGCGCCTCTGTGCATGCTCAAATTCCCCACAACATTTTGAGAAACCGTGTAAAAATTCTGAAATGCAAAAACACCCAAATGTCCTATTTTTCACTTCAAAGCAGCATTTTGAGAATAATCTGAGACACAACCTCCAAATGATTTTTGATTAAACAAGCTTTTCAAATCCCTCTATCTCACTCTGCTGGTTATTTTGGAAATCCTTCTCTATGCCATGTGACAACTCATATCTGCTTAAACTCATTATTACAGAGCTTAAAATCTGCAGCACATATTCAAGACAACATTACCAACCTGTATTTGATTTAATAAAGTGAGATAGTTACTAATGGCTGCTGATATATTCACACATATATTTGTTACTGAAGATGAAAAAAGTTACATTTCAAGTCTTAGCATAAATAAATAAAAACAACTTTCCCATAAAATTTGTCAAAATATTTCACATAGGCAATCAGTGGGACCCCCATATACAGTAAAGTGAAGTGTTATTACCGTAATTTCCAGACTATTGGGCACACCTGAATATAAGCCACGCCCACTAAATTTACAAAGAAAAAAGTCTGCATATATTTATTCATTTATTCAACCTTTATATATAGGCCACACTTGTCTATAAGTCGCAGGTGTCCACGTTGTAGCATGAGATATTTACACAAAAAGATTAAAATAATAATTCTGAACAGTGCCTGTATCACGGCTGGTAAAGAAAAAAAATACAGTAGCCTACCAGGAAGTGTTTGATCACTGTCCTCCATCCTTCCCCCTGCACACTGCGGGAGAGGAGAAAGGATGGAGAACAGCTTGTGCTGACATTTTAAATGCATGAGTCACACTTATTCCGAGTGGCTCCAAATACATTCCCCTCTCCCTGGGGTCACAACGAGGAGGGGAGGAGAGAACGGGGAGAGGTGGATGGAAGAATATCCTGATGCATGCTCAATAATCCAGGTAGAAAAATCTAAAAAAGTTTTCCCACCTCCTCAGTGGATTTAGGAAACTGTGACCTGTTCGGTTATTTCATTGGTCAGATTTATTTATATATATTTTTACCTTTATTTATACAGGTCGTCTCAATGAGTCATGAGGGTGCGGTCTTCTTGGAGTCGGGTTGGGCCCTCACCCCACCCCCAAGAAAGACGTGTAATGGATAGCTGTGTGAGAGCCCGAGTGTGACAAGGATAAATGTTATGGCGGCATGAAGCTCAAAGCCCGTAAACAAAAAACTAACCATAAATTAGCCGCAGCAATGTATAAACCACGGGGTTCAATAAGTGTGAAAAAAGTAGCGGTTTATAGTCCGGAAATCACGGTACTTATTTAATCTTTACTTAACCAGGTAAATCACAGATCTGTGTTTGAAGGGAAGCTTGGGCCTGAAGGCTGCTTAAAAATGCACGTTTTGTTTGGTTTTAAAGGGAAGGTCAACACAAAGGAAAGTTTTATTTTTACAAAAAATAAATAAAAAAACCTATCATAAAAGCAAAAAGTCAACAAACAAAACTAATTTTTTGTCTAATAAAACAAAATTATCCATCACATACATGCCCACGGAACCAGAGGCATTTCTTTCTTTACATGGTCGGTCTTCATGTAGAGTCATTCAGGGGTTTGCAGCTAAAAATGTCACTTCCATTTTCCAAATACAGTTAATCACGTTTTTTTTATTTGCATATTTTGTTCTTGTTTTGCTAAATGCAACAAGAGTAAAAACTATTCATGTTATAAGGACACATATTTATGAAGCAACAAAAGGTAGTGCCCATATTATTAGCATTTTTTTCATCTTATCTCATAGAATACATTTATCTTGCAGTCAAATAATGATGTCATTGTACCAAAATGTAATTATCAGTAAGCAATAATGTGGATGTGTATTTGTCTCATGTAATTATAATAAAAACAGAAGTCATTTCTTTGTTACTTCCGGCAAAACTTAGCTGTACTTTCATACTCACAGTTCTGCCCCTGATCCATAGATTGAGTACTTCACTTCACCCCAAGGTCCAGAGTCTGGGTCTACTGCCTGCAAACGAACCACATAACACATGAATTAACAGAGAAACGATTTTCCTCTTTGCTGTTCAGTTAATTCAACACGCCACCGTTGCATGTTTCTGTTCGGAGTAACTGATCAGCGTTTTAAAGGTTATATAAGTGAGTAAACAGAATGAATCAGTACAGCAGGGGAACATGATTTTGCATGGCTAAGCCTTCAAAAAGTGACTTTTGATGTTGAAATAATATCCTGGCCTGCAGCTAATCTGTCTGTCTGCAGCTGCGCGGATGTCTGTTCACTGTCTCCATATGTGCAAGGTCACTTGTTGGCTGTTCTTTTATCTGACTGAAACAGGCAGGGATCAAGGCAAAGAGCCTCTGTGGTGTTCACACAGGAGCAGAACTTATTTATTATTAGTTAGACCCCCTTCCTCTGCAGAGCTCATGATCTGACAAGGACAGAGGAGGAGAGAGATCAAGCATCAATCAATTTGGCATGTCCTTTAAAATATTCATTCTACCTCAGGACATATTTTTGTGCTGGACGGGCCACTAAGCACTGGCTGGGGAGAAAGAAGTCAGGGAATTTGCTGTTACACAACAAAATGAAAGTGATAGCCATCTGGCAGCTTACCTCGCCTAGCTTTTATCTACATGATTTCACATATTATCCCAACCCCCACTGCTCAAAGAGTCTACATTTAGAGAATTAATGGCCCCGTTTGAACATTTTGTTAAAATCACCAGTACGCTTTAGCTCTGATGCGCTGATGCACGTCAGCAATGGCGTGTATTTTTAGATGGGATGAAGACCGGCTCACCGTGACTGACACCACATTTGAGCCACCGGGCGAGTTTTCTGGAATTCTGGCAACGTAGTAGTCCGAGGAGAATTTGGGAGCGTTGTCGTTGGTGTCCAAGAGATGAATGACAATGTCTGCTGTGGCGCTGAATCGCTCAGGGGTATCCACCTCCACTGCAAGTAACTGAAAAAGCAATCAAATAAATATATAGATAACTGTATTGGTTGAGTGGTGTAATAAGAATGATCTCACATTAATATATATAAAAAAAACAGAAGCTGGTGTTTGACTCTCGGGTGGTGGGGGATCATAACCCAATGTCCAACCACAGGGAGGAGGTTCACCAGGATGACCTCTTCAGCTGGAGTGACCATGTTGACCACGTATGCTCCCGGTTTCAGCAAAGGCTGTTTTTTCTTTGTAGACTGAAGACGTTTGGTGTCAGTCAGAACGTCATGATTTTATTTTACCAGGCAGTGATGGAGAGTGTTATCAGGTATGGTTTGACGGCATGGTTCGGCAATCTCTCCACTCGGTTTAAATGTAAGTTGCAGCGCCTAGTACAAACTGCTATGAAGGTGTTGGGGAGGACCGATGAGCAGTCTGTACTTAGGCAGGCACGAAGGGTATTGTTGGATCCGTCCCACATCCTGTATGTGGAATATGAGCTCTTGCCTTCCAGTACAGAATCCCCAAAACTAAACTGAACCGTTGTAAATATTCTTTTGTGGCCACCTCCATCAAAATATTGAATCAAATTTTAAATAGATAATATGTTGAGGCCTGGAAGGTGTGCAAGAACGTTAGTGTTTGCTGTTGTCTTGTAAACTGTTTGTGGTATTTTTAGCTGTTTATATGAATTATGTGTATTTATCGTCTGTTTGGGCAGCTGCACCCATGACAAATTTCCCTAAGGGGACAATAAAGTCTATTCTATTCTATTCTATTCTATTCTATTCTATTCTATTCTATTCTATTCTATTCTATTCTATTCTATTCTATTCTATTCTATTCTATTCTAACCCAAAACTGAACTATGCATTAGATGAGTGCAACATATTGCAGCTAAATGATGAGAAACAAGCATATGTCTGCAACAAGTAAACACATTCTGGTTTGGTGTAAAAATGTTACCTTGTATGTTAAAAAATGGTGTCTCTCATAGTCCATGGCAGCAGAGTCCTCCACCAAAATGGTGACTTGGGCCTCATTGAGGACAGTTTGGGGGACAACTCGAAGCATTCTTCCAGGTCCAATTAGCCTCAAGTTAAATTTAGCATTTGCACCCTGCAGGAGCACAGAGACGTGTCATCATGCACCGACATAATGATATGCATTTTTAAGCAGTCATGTCAGGAAAACAAACATGCTGAAGGCAGTTTTAATCAGTTTAACAATATTTAATTACATCAGTAATGCAATGCAAATCATTGAGATACACGTAGTGATACTTTAAAGCACAACATTAATAGACAGAAAGAGTTTTGTTTAACTAGAGAGCATATTTGCAGAGCGTCAGTCAGAAGAACATCTGCACAGTATGGAAAATGGAATGCACTTTTTAAAAAAAACTTTTTTTACTTGTTGCTATTATTTTATCATTTTCAAAGGAGTTGTCTGTGATAATGGCAGGCTTAAGGTCATAGCGTAAACAGCAAGGCAAACACTATCCTGAATCCTGTCATGATAAATTCTGAGTAAATCTACCCCTGATTAGATAACGCTGCCACATTGTTCAAAAATTAGGGTTGTTATTTAACTAAGCTAATGTTTTTTCAGCGCTAAATGAAATTATTTGCTGCAAAAAGTGCCAATAGACAATTGTTTACAACAGGGGAAGTTTACACACCTGATCTGAGTCATTAACTGTGATTTTCAGGCCTCGTAGGATTTCTCCCTCTGGCGGATGCTCGTTCATGGTCAGCTCGAACATACTCTGTGGGCCATGTTCTCCATAAAACGTGGGTGGATTATTGTTCAGATCCACTACACGGATCACCACTGTGGTCACCCCATAGTCCATTGGTTTGCCTTCAGGACTTACTTCTGATGCCTGAACAAAGAGTTAAAGTTTAAATAGTTTCCACTCATTACAGGGAAATCTTTTTTCCAACGTTTAGGTTGTTGCATCTTTCATGTTTATTTTTATGACAGTGATGATAAAAACTCAGACATAACAGCAGTTTTTAATTGTGAAATATTCTGGCAAAACAAACAAACAAACAAACAACCAAAAAAAAAAAACGTAAAAATTACGTTCTTACCCGGACTTTTATGTTGAAGATTTCTCTCTTCAGATTAATCGGAGGACTCAGCAGAGAGATACAACCGCTTGTTTTATTTATATAAAAAACACCATCATCACCTGGTCAGACAAACATAATGCCGGTAAACAATTTAACATTTTGAATTCTTTTTTACTTGTGCATTACTCTATAAAAAGACCTACCTTCATCAAATGAGTATCGGACTGGATTTGGGTTTCCCACATCACCATCTTCTGCAGACACAGTAAATATTTCAGAGCCCTGTGGAAACAAACACAAAGTGTTTTACTGCAGTAAAGCTGTGAAAACAGGCTGGAAGTGAACAATAGAGCTTAAACAGAAAGGATCATTTAGAGCAGGGGTTCTCACACTTGTTGGGTTCAGGGACCCCCTTATAACCCTCAAGTTTATTAAATAATTTTCTTCAGTTTGTCTCTTTAAAGCAATGGAAATGTCTGTGTAATATACAGTAAATACTTAAGACATGTTCTTTAATACAATTTTTATACTTTTAAACTTGGGTTATTTTTCATTTAAGACATTTTTCTTATTATTTCAATGTCCAAAAATGACAGTTTTGAGAAAATTAACAGTATCAAAAAACACTTTTAAACTTTATCTAGTCACATAACAAACAAGCTAAATGTATTTCCACTTCTTCAAATTATTACTGAAAACTTATTTTACCTAAAACTGAACAGTATCATAACAGCAGGGGTCAGGTCAAGTAACAGGGCTTCATTTGAAAACCGATCAATGCCGGAATGCAAATAGCAGGTGTGTGTGTGGGTGTGTGTGTGTGTGTGGGGGGGGGGATATGAGGAGTCTGGGGTCCTCCCCCAGGAAATTTCCAATAAAGTAAATGTGATTTCCTGCATTTTGGTGCAGCTTGTTAAACATCTATGTGCTTGTAAAAAAACAAAACAAACAAACAAACAAAAAAAAAACATGTGTGTGTATATATATATATATATACTGTATAGTGTACAGTGAGGAAAATAAGTATTTGAACACCCTGCAATTTTGCAAGTTTTCCCACTTAGAAATCATGGAGGGGCCTGGAATTTGTGCATGCCCACTGTGAGAGACATAATCTAAAAAATTAAAAAAATCCGGAAATCACAATGTATGATTTTTTAAAAATAATTTATTTGTGTGTTACTGCTTGCAGACCCCTGCGGGTCTGTGGACCCCAGTTTGAGCACCACTGATTTAAAGTACTGCTACACTGTTTTATATTAGTATTAATGCAATTTGAAAACAATACTAGTAATTTAATGTCACATATATTTAACAGACTAAGTATTAAAACTGTGTTTAAATGTTAACATAAAAACAATTCAGTGATATTATCTGGTATTGTTAAACAACATACTAATAAAATTGACCTTTTATTTAATTAAAACACCATCAACAAAAATGCAAACAGGAGTAAAATGAGAAACAGCCTGTGAAGAAGAAGAAGAAGTGAAGAAGAAGAAGAAGTGAAATAGCATTGATATGCTGTAGTGTTTTTTAATGAAAGGCCAAGCATTCTTTTGTTGTTTTCTTTGGCATAGATTGTTGTTAGTATAACTACCATGTGTTTAAGTTGATCGAATTAAAATGACTTGGATACGTTTTCATACTCACTGGCTTTGAGACTTCATAAACATATCCGAAGTATGGCGTCCCAATGAAAGCTGGAGGAGTGTCTTGTGCATCAACCACATTGATGGTCATGGTAGAAGAGGATGATAGAAATTGTTCTTTGCCATTATAGTTCCCTCCACCATCCTGGAAAAAATACAACATATATGTGTGTTTAAAGAGGAAGTTTTTACACTTATTAATTAAGGTTTGTAAAGTTTTATTGTTGCATAGCTGACAGTCTTTTGCACTTTCACATTTCTGCTGAAACTTTTTTTATGTTTCCAGGTGCAACTCAGTGAAATTCTGCATCTGAACTGTTTGATACAAAATAATAATTGTGTGGGTAAATCTTTTATATGGCACCAAAAATTTAATCACCACAAACTTTGGCATTACTGAGCAAAAAAAAAACAAAAACAAGTACGCAAATGCAAAACAGAACAAATCAAACAGTTTTGGTGCTATTTTTTCTTCTTCTTCTTTTTTTGCATTACACATATGAGTCAGAGCAAGCTCAGTTTGAAAGATCAGAGAAACTCTTGAAGGAGTCAAGCTAACAGCTGAGCAAAATTCTCACCATTTTAAAGAACTATAACAAACATTTTATGGCTCTATTATGGCTTTTTAACACTTTGGCATGTTTGAATTGCACGTATTGCATAAATCATTGTTTGTTTTTTTTGTGCTGTGTTGGAACACGGTCCATTGCAATTCTGTTTGTTTGAAACAAGTTGCAAAATAGAACATGTCAAAACTCAGTCCGTGTAACTATTTGATGTTAAAGTAATCATTCACAACAAACTGGTTTTTTGAATGATCATAAGATATTAAGAGGTTTGAGTTGTTTTAAATGACAGAACTCCACACTAGACTACTCCTCAGTTTGATTAGCTGTTAGCTTTACTCATCCAAACAAACTTCTCCAGACTGGCATCACTCTGACTGCTGTCTGCAGACATTATACTGTATTAGTGCTCAACCTCTTCTCAGAAACCAACTTTAGAAAAAAAGGAAAAAAATGGAGTTGTGATTCACGTACCTTAGCAATGACTACAACAAAATGAGTTTTGCTTTTCTCATAATCCAGTGTTTCCCCTGATTTGATACGAAGGACTCCACTATGTCTGTCAATGGCAAACAGATTGGACTGAGGCATCTGCAACAGAGGGCGGAACAATAAGCACAGTTTTAAAGCCACAAATATGATCACACAAGTCTGTGTCTAAAACCACAAAACCCTTCAACACAGTCATGTGAGATATAAAAATGAGGTCTCTGTATCTTTTTGTCAGTCTAGATGTTTAAAATATACTCATAATCATAGAAGGAGGTTAAAATCTGCTTTGACCACATTTAACCCCCCCCCCCCCCCCCCAACTCTTCAGACTCCATCATGTCCAGGCCAGCTGTTCTACAGACCTAATAGTCCAAAGTGCAAACCAGTATTCCCTGCCACCTGCTGCTAAAGCAGCCATCTAATCATTCAGTACCTGACACAAATGTGATGTAATCCCTGTCCGCACCACATTCAAGCGAACAATGAACAAAAAGACAAAATTTAACTGAATGAAATCCACTGACTGTCACTCAGATCAACAGCAGAACTGTCAAGTTTCAAGAAACAGTTCATATTTAGAAATGTTCATTATCTTCTTGCAGGAGTCCTACCTGGAGGTAATAGGTGACCGAGCCTCCTGAGCCTGTGTCTCTGTCCACAGCCTCCACTTTGTAGATGCTACTTCCAGATTCAGTTGTCTAAATTTTTCAACACATACAATAAAATGAACACAGCCAGATGGTGACTTTGCACTAACTATACATTTACTTAAGTGTTTTATTTGAATACATTACATATGATGACAAATTTATTCAACTTACTTCTACTACATCAATAATTGTTGGCATGTTTTGAAACTCTGGTTTTTCATCGTTTGCATCCATCACAAATATAGTAACTTTTTCCACAACCTAAAAAATATAAATGAAAAAAAAAAAATTATACAAGTTGTTCAAACTCAGATATTTAAAATAAATGTAACAAAGTTATTGTTAAAATGGTAAATGGACTGCATTTATATTGTACTTTTCCAGCCTTCCTTACCACACAAGTCACCCATTCACACAAACACTCATGCACTGGGTCACATACTGGGTGCTTTCAGTATCTTGCCAAAGAACAATGTAGAGCACAACCACACTTCCTCTTGAGAAACGGTTGCCCATTTACGTTTTATATATCATATTCAATCCACAACAATTAAAATAGAAATGTGTGAGTAACACTGATTAATATGTTGTAGTGCCATGTTCTGTGATCTGTAAATACCTGGCTTTTTCCATCTGTGATACTGATATTAACGTCAATGGAATCTTGTTTCTGAGTCAGGGAAAGAAAACTGAAAATTAGATTTTAAACAACTCAAAATGTTTGTTGTCTTATGTCCTTGCATTTACCTCTCTGTCCAACTTTTCCACCAGTGTAATACTTCCAGATTTTGTATTGACACTGAAGTACTCTTTTGACCCCGGATCAAAGGAAAGTCCGTACCTCACCTCCTGACCTTCAGGGTCTGTGCCATTGAGACGATAGATCTGCGTACCTGAAGGAAGACACCATTATGCATTAAAGTAGGCTCTTTAGATGAACGAATGCACAGTATGTAGTTTTACATACATAGAAAACTGTGCGCTAAATGTCAAACATTGTAATTTCTGGTTTATAAGGCGCTACTTTACAGGCCCTGAACCCTGCAGCTTATACAATGCTGCAGCTAATTTATGGACTTTTTCATTTATTTTTGGACGGGCTAACGAGCTTCCTAACGTCAAAAACATTTAGCCTCGTCACACCCAGGTGCTCACATAACTGCTCAATACACGTCTCTCTTGGTCAAGGCTGTCATGACCTCATGACTATTTTACTGTTTAGTACACAGAGAGAGTGTGGATGAGGAAGCGAATCCACCTTGTGCTCCGCGGAGGGGGATTCTCCCACTCCACATTTACTCGTCCCCTCCCCATTTCATTTGTTTGACTGTGACCTGTTCAGTAACTTCATTGGTCAGATTTTTTTTACCTTTATTTATACAGGTGGTCTCATCAATACTCTTGGACATTAGGTGACATTATATCCTAATGAAACCCCACCACTTTCCTTCAGTAATACTAGGTGTTTATCATGGGGGTGGGTCCTCGTGACTTAATGAGACTACCTCATTGGTTCATTGTGGTTGACTGACGGTCACATGGCCTCATGAAGAGATTATGGGTAAAATGTATGTTTATTGTTAATTATTTATGTTCGCTGTTTAGCATTGCTCTTTTAGTGATTAGTCTGTTCTTCTTTTAGTGTATGGGTTCATTGTGTGTTAGCTTGCGTTAGGCCATTCATTAACTATGAGTGAGGGAGGTAGTTGTCATGAAGACCCCTGGGGTTTACTCTGTCTGTTTGTGTTGAACAGTAAACAAAAGTCCATAAAACACCACCTGGAGGCTGATTTGACAACAAGATCTGTACATCACTCTCAATATAACTGTGCTGCCACTCATGTTTCAACGTGAACACCCACGGTTCATACACAGGTGCAAAATTTACATATGGATTATTGAGTATGGACTTTGTTGTTTTCAACCAGTTTGACAAAACTGTTAACAAGGAAGAGCGCTGGCAATGGAAGAGGGGGCGTACCAAAGAGACCATCTTATCACAAGCAGAACTGGTTTGTTCCACTTTGGAGTAAGCTGTTGGAGGAAGAATCAGTTTTGTTGTGTTTCCTTGCCTGATGAAGCCTTCCGGATCGAAGGCGAAACGTTTCAGCACAAAAAAAGAAACTGTCCAGATGACCTGACTGAAAAATGTTGGATTTTATACCTGGATTATTGAGCATGGACTTCGTTAATTTATTTACTTATTTATTTAATTTAATGTGCATGGCTTATATTCAGGTGAGTTCTATAGACTGGGAATTACAGTACTATTTTGATGAAAATATCATTTAGAAAAAAAAAGTCAAAGTGTCTGATTGAGTTCCAATGAGTATCCTGACCGATGCAAGGTGCGCAGAGACAGCTGCACCACATTCACATCTGGCAACAGCAGATGAGCATGTTGGTGTAAGTGCTGCTCAACATCAGCTCATCTATCAAGAACTACTTACCATTTTGAACTTTCAAATACCAGCAACTAATGCAAACCACTTTGCTAACTGGTTCCTCCATGGTTCTGTTCTCTACAATAAATATAAAAGTATGGTCAGTCTCACCAACAGGAGTGTCCTCTGAGAGGCTGAACAGGGCCAGATTCCCGTTGTCGCTGTACGGTCCATTGTCGTAGAAGTAAGGGGCAAAGTCTGCCTGTGCTGAGGACAGAGATATGAACCCACCAGGTGGAGTGTTATTATATGTACACCATTAATCACCGACTGAACCAGAGAACAGGTTTAAATAATGTTTTATATTGAACTTTATTGATGACACCAGATTTTCACATCTTTAATTTAAAAATTTGATCAATGAAAACTGTGTAAAATGTCCATCTGACCTTATTATGGCTTTTACCAGGGATTAAAGGTGAGCTACGTAAACCTTCTAAGTTAACTCATCTAAACATGGGCCTAATTTATTTACTTTTTTAGTTTTTCTTTACAATAATGTCAAAAGACTAGGACTAGGTATATGAACTGTACGCTACCCTAATAAATACAATAAAAACAAATTAATCACTTCTAGACTTAAAAGATAGCCTCCATATTTTCAACTCTACTAATGAACTTCAAGTTAAAAACAATAAAAAATAATAACATTTATATTTCTTTAATGAGAAGCTCTTAAATTATTATAAAAATGGTATAACTGAGAAAAAACTTACCAAAACAGGCATTCACAAACATGAAAAGCAGTGACAAATTTAAAACCTTCTCATTCTTCATCCTGAAGAATAAAGTCATAAAACCGCACCATGAAGACGGCGCCGTCGAGAGTTCTTCACATGAGAAACAGCTCTCAAGGTGTTTTCCTGCAGAAGGCTAAAAGCAGATGCTTACATGCTAATCCAATGACTCTGAAGATTTACTCCTGACCCCCCTCAGTGCAGCTGGGCTTCACTGAGCAGAAATTCACTTAAAGTATGCCAAAACAAGGATCTTCACAACTTTTTCAGCAGATTTATTGTTCAATATTATTAATAATTAATAGCTATAAATTGTGTCATTCTGGTCAAACAGAACAGTTCTATTTCTATAAGCACTTTGGTAACAACTGCTGTTTTAAATGTGCTTTATAAATAAATTTGACTTTATTTTGTGGCCTAAAACTGCTTCATTAACCTCCTTGGTAAATATACACCTTTGGTATTATTAGTTAATTACAATTATATTGTAATACTTTGTTTACACATTTTTAAATTAACAGCTGCATACTGTTTGAGCTGTAACAATGAGACAGTGTTCACATTCATTAAAGAGAATCCTGTTTAAAACCCAGCCTGACTGATACTTTACGTTAAATGCTGGGACCATTTGTTATTGAAAATATAGAATGTCATCATGAGCAATCTACCCTGTTTATGAGGTCAGTGGTTGACACGTATTGATTATTCTTTTGCTTTTCACGAACAGATTCTGTTCCGATTCAAATATGACTGTGCACATAAGGGTCCACTAGTTGAAATATTTTGTATCATGTTTACCTATCATGTGAAAGGCAAACAAAAATATTTGTTTTATTGTTTTGTGCTTTTAAATAAAAAAAATATTGATTGCTGTATCGTGTTCTTCTTCTTGAACTTTCGAGCTGAAATTTAAGCACCAAAACATTTTTTTTCCTCTTGTTTTCCACCAAGGAGCCTCTTGTTGAAAGAATGGTCACCCATTTTGACCATACCATACCACTTTATTTATAAAGCACTTAAAACAGCTACAAGGCCAACCAAAGTGCTGTACAGACAGAACAACAGGTAACACACAAAGCAATATACAAAATGAGGTAAATCAGAATATAGACATAAAAACAATGCAGATAATAAATATGACGACAAACCAGTGTGGAGCGTACAGGATCAAAACACAGATTAGATAGTGGTGGCACAGAGGTTACAGAAGGCAAGCTTGGATTAGAAGGTTGCCAGTTCAAATCCCTGGTGAGATAACATCAAATGTGGTTGGGAATGGTGAAGCACCCTCTATTAGTCTCTTGAGCAAAGCCCTTAACCCCCAGCTGCTCCCCCGGGTGCCCTAGATAGCTCTCTGCTCCACACAGAGGGCTGTGGTAGCTCGGTGATCTGTGGTTGCGTCAGGAAGGGCATCCAGATCTCAGTGGGAGTTGGCTTGCTGTGGTGACCTCTGACGAAGAGACCAGTCAAAAGAGACCATAACTTGTTTGTTTGTTTGTTTGTTTGTTATCTACCAGGATGCCTGAGCTTACAACCTTTTTCTTTGACCACAAGTTGTCTTTTTACAAACACCACCCTGACACTGCTAGACGTAAAGGGTGCAGATAGACAGCCTGTTTGTCTGATTGAAAAGATGTGCTACTGTTGAAAAACGAAACAAAAGCTATTTTATTAAAATAAATATTTATCTATTCTTCTGACTTGGATGATAAGTGATAAACGTATGGCGGTCAGACGCATTCAAGTCTCTTTCTACTTCACTCCAGGTCTCTTTAAACCTACAGTTTTCACGTGTCACCACATGGGCCATCTATCTGATGTTTGGACATATGATATGTCAACACTGGTGACCACTGGTGTGATCCACTTGCACTACGAGCTAATCTATCTTTCTGTAGAAACATGCTTCAATCATTTGTATTCATACACAAAATAAATATAACTCAAAGTTCTCCAAATAACCGTGTTTTATTTTGTTCCTCACTCGCCATCAAGCAAGACGGATGTCTTTTCTTTTTATTTTCTTCTTCTTCTATCAAAATGCTCCTGGGGATGTGTAAACCAAGAAAGCTCTACTCTATCCACCCCGCCCTCCCTGAGAACTTCTGTGAAGGCTTATCAGAGCTGTACCAGCTGTAACTTTAACATCTTATCAGGACTATGGAACTATCTGGACATGCTTCATGGATAAAATCTCACCGTCTTGTCATTAAATATATATGTAATGTGTCTATAAATGTGCTTTGATGTCTTAAACCATGCTCTGACAAGGTGTGAAGAGATCTTTTTTTTTATGCCCGCTATCCTCATGGTCTTTCCTCTTTTCTTATCTTATCTAAAGAATAAGGTCTGTGCTCCTAGGAGCTGCAGCCACGTACACTCGGTGCATCTTTCGGACGACTGCACTGAATACAAGTATGCTGTACTTCACTGTGCAATGACAATAAAGCTTGCCTTTATTGCCTGAACATAAAATTACCAAATATAAGATAAATGTTTAACTTTTGAAATGATCAACTAATAGAACCCCTCACTTCACCCCCGCTAAAGAAAATTGTCTTAATTTTGTGTGATTTCTATTTATCGCTCAGGTGTGCCATTACCATTAGGAAAAGTACAGAAACTCTAAACTGTGCCATTAATTTACTAACATAATGCTCCATATGCAGGAGGATTTACAAACAGTATAAATTATTGTGAAGATTTTAAGTTTACTCTCTATACAACATGAGGTGTACAGTGATATGTATAATATAATTATATTATATTTGACAATGAAGCAGCAGACAAATCCCCAGCGAGCACGATGGGAACACAAGCAGGCGGTGGTCAAAGGTAGAATACTGATTCCATTTAATATGGACAGGGATTTGCATGACCTCCTCATGATGACAGCATGTTTGACTCATGGATAACAGTCACCCGTCAGTTTTTTCCTGTATGTTGTCGGTAAATTTGAAGCTGTACCTTCAGGTTTTATTTTCATTGCACTGGCAGATGGCAGGCCTGAAGATTAACCCACTGTGCTCTAATCTCTCCTCATCTTGTAATGCACAGAGCCTCCCTGTGGAAATTCAGACTCAGACATAAACGCAAAGCGCAATTAGCTCACAGAACGTTATGCTAAATGCACGTGACACATTGTGTGCGGTGACGTGGGGGTTTCATAACTATGGTGGTACTTTTTATACTTTTAATATTTTACCATAACAAATGTGAATATTGTTTGCAATTGTAATCTAAATGTAAGTCAAAAGAAAAACAACAACAAAATGCCAAGTAATACTTATTACTTTAAAGATTCATACAAACTCACTTCTCATTTTTAGTCATCTTCTTCGTTTCTAATCCTGTGATTTAAATCACAGCACATGCTGATCTCTTGTCCTCTTGGTGACAAAGCCATTTCCCCTTAGGGGAAACTTTAGAGTCATGTTTATCTTTTCAGCATGGCTGCTTGTGCATCTCTCGATTTAGATTAATGTCCTAGATAGACACGGCTAACCCCACGTCTGCCAAGGTGCAGTGTATTCTAAAGCAGTTGAAATAATTCAGTGGCATAGATAAGCATTACTGTCTTTAAAAGGTTTAGCAGCATTATGACAACAAACACATTTCAACAAATCAAGCGCAGAAAAAAATATTAAAAGTGTGTGTTTGTGTGTGTGGGGGGTGAGTTTTGGGTCTGCCCCAGGATTTCTTTCATGAAAAACTCCAGAGGAAGGTGACCGAACGTCATCCTGAAAAGATGCCCAAACCACCTCAGCTGACTGCTTTTAATGTGGAGGAGCAGCAGCTCCACTCCGTGTCTTCCTCACCTTATATTTAAAAGCTCATATCTTACTGCACTGGAACTGTTGGAGACTATGGTGACTTACATTAAAACAAACACATTCTAAATGTTTTCCACCAGTGAGCCATCTGGTTGTTTCAAACAGACTTTTTTTTGGTAATATATATATATATATATATATATATATATATATATATATATATTTTTTTTTTTTTTTTAAATTTTACCTTTATTTATCCAGGTAGTCTCAATGACCCCCGAGAACTCATTTTCAAGAGAGACCTGTTTAGGGAGAAGATGGTGGGGGTTAAGGGCCTTGCTCAGGGGCCCAGAGTGGGGTGAATGAGGGTGGAGAGAGGTGTGGGTGTTTCACCTGTTCCATCCACATTTTGATGTTGACGGTACCGGGAGGTGAACCTGCGACTTTCCGATCACAGGCCCATCTGTTAACCTCTGCGCCACCACTCCCCCCTGTTGTCTGCCTCGGCCCACTTTGTATCCATCCCCATGTTAATCATTTGGTCAACTGGACTAAATACTGAAATGACAATGGGGACTAGTTTTCCCAGTACATATTATCTTGGGTGTTTTCTGTCAGAGCAGAGCTCCCATGCAGCTGTAGCAATCCAGAGACAAACTGGAGAGACCATCCATCCATTATCTTTACCCGCTTATTCCATTTTGGGTCACGGGGGTCGCCGGTGCCCATGTCCAGCAATCACTGTGCGAGGGGCGGGGTACACCCTGGACGGGTCTCCAGTCCATCACAGGGACACATAGAGACAAACGAGACAAACAACCATTCACTCTCTCACTCACACCTAGGGACAATTTAGAGTTACCAGTCAGCCTAACATGCATGTTTTTTGGTCTGTGGGAGGAAACCGGAGCACCCGGAGAAAACCCACACACGCACAGAAAGAACATGCAAACTCCACTCAGAAAGGCCCCTGGACCGGGGTTTGAACCAAGGACCTGCTCGCTGAGAGGCAGCAGCTCTACCAGTTGCGCCACCGTGCTGCCCAACTGGAGAGACCTATGACAACATTTAAAAAGTTTCAAAATAGATTTGTGACACAACTCTGTGACTATTTTAAGAAAATATTTGTTGCACCATTTATTTAATATGTTTAAAACTAAATAAAGCAATAACATTATTAGCTTCTGCGATTCACATGAAGACATTGCAAATTCAACATTTTGAGACTATTTGACTCCCTAAAGAATGTTGTTTGCCAGTTAGTGACCAACAGCCACAGCCCAGTGAGATAC